GGGCTTCTCATCTGAGGCACCGCTGGGATGTTAAACTGGATGGTGCTTTGAGGTAGAGGCCGCCCTGTGCGAGGCTTTCAGGCCATTTTTCAGACAGGATCAGGAGTTGGAGACCAGGGCCCAGGGATGCTGCTCGAGGTGACAGAACTGGAAAAGATGAAGGAAAGACAGAAATGTAACCCAGATTGCATAATGATGCCTGATGCTTTAACCCGACAATGGCCATTGTCGGATGTTGACGTAAACAATAGGTGTCTACAGGATGAATTAGCCAAACGACAACTGCAGTGTGAGGGGAACAGGTCCATTGGCTCAAGACACAATGCCACCACAGAACAGGTTTCACAAAGGGCCATGTCCCGTCAACTTAGTGATCAAACCACCGTGGCCTGGAAACCTGAGATCAGGACCCACAGAAAGACTGGCGGAATGACAGACCAAATGCGGAAGACGTTCCAACCAGGTGTGAAAAAATCATTCTGTGAATTATGAGAGTGTGGGAAAAACATACTCACTGGAAAAAAAAATCCAGTTGTTAAGTTGTTAAAAATCCAGTTGTTTATTTATTTATTTATTTATTTTTATTTTTTTGAGACAGAGTCTCGCTCTGTTGCCCAGGCTGGAGTGCAGTGGAGTGATCTTAGCTCACTGCAACCTCCGCCTCCTGGGTTCAAGCAATTCTCCTGCCTCAACCTCTCGAGTAGCTGGGACTACAGGTGCAGTGCCACCACGCCCAGCTAATTTTTGTATTTTTAGTAGAGACGGGGTTTTGCCATGTTGGCCAGGCTGGTCTCAAACTCCTGACCTCAGGTGATCTACCTGCTTCAGCCTCCCAAAGTGTTGGGATTATAGGCATGAGCCACTGCCCCCAACCAAGATAGACTTTATTTATTATTTATTTATTTTTTATTTTGAGATGGAGTCTCGCTCTGTCGTCCAGGCTGGAGTGCAGAGGTGTGATCTCAATTCACCGCAACCTCTGTCTCCCAGGTTCAAGTGGTTCTCCTGCCTCAGCCTCCCAAGCAGCTGGGATTACAGGCACACGCCACCACGCCTGGCTAATTTTTGTATTTTAGTAGAGATGGGGTTTCACCATGTTGGCCAGACTGGTCTCAAACTTCTGACCTCAAGTGATCCACCCCCCTCAGCCTCCCAAAGTGCTGGGATTACAGGCGTGAGCCACCGTGCTCGGCCAATAGACTTTATTTTTAAAAGAAGTTTTAGATGTACAGAAAAATTAAAAAGATTGTACCTTGTGACCAGTTTCTCCTATTATTCATATCTCACATTAATTTGGTAGGTTTGTTACAATTTTTAAATTTTGAGTTTTTTGAGGCAGGGTCTTCCTCTGTTGCTGAGGTTGGAGTGACACAATCATAGCTCACTGTAGCCTTGAGCTCCTGAGCTTGAGTAATCCTCCCATCTTAGCCTCCCAAGTAGCTGAAACTATAGGCATGGGCCATTATGCTCAGCTAACTTTTGTATTTTTCTTTGTAAAGACAGGGTCTTGCTATGTTGTCCAGGCTGGTCTCAAACTCCTGGCTTCAAAGGATCCCAAGTGCTGGGATGACAGGTATGAGCCTCTGCACCCCACCTTTATGTTATAATTAATGCACCAATGTTGACACATGGTCATGAGCTAGAGTCCATATCTTATTCTGACTGCCTTCATTTTTCCCTAACGTCCTTCTTCTGTCCCTGGATTCCATCCAGGGTATCATGTGACATTTAATTGTCATGTCCCTTTAGGCTTCTCTTGTCATAACAATTTCTCAGACTTCCCTTGTTTTTGATGACCTTGACAGTTTTGAGGAGTTCTGGTCAGGTATTTTGTAGGATGCCCCTCTATTGGAATTTGATGGTTTTTTTTCTTTGTATGACCACATTAGGGTTATAGGTTGGGGGGAAGAAGATCTCAGAGGTAAAATGTCATTTTTATCACAGCATATCAAGGGTGCATGCTGTCAATGTGACTTCCGACTGTTGCTGTTGACATTGATCACCTAGCCTGACTAGTGTTTGTGAAGTTTCTTCACCATCAAGTTGCTCTTTTTTCCTTTTTCCACACTGTACTCTTTGGCAAGAAGCCGCTGTGTGCAGCCAATGCCTGAGGTGTGAGGAGTTCTCTCTCCTGCTTTCTGCTGGAGCATCTATGTAAATTATTTGGAATTTTTCTGCCTGAGAGATTTGCCTCTTCATTCCTATCCATTTATTCAATATTTTATTTATATCAGTACAGACTCATGGATTTTTACTTTATTTATACTTTGGGTTATAGTCCAAGGTTGCTTTATTTGTTTTCTTGCTCAAATTGTGCTCACTCTGGCCATTGGGAGCTCTTTCAATTGGCTCCTGCACCCCTTCCGCATACCCCTATCAGTGTAGCTTTCTTGAAGTCCTTTCATATTTTCTGGCACTGCAGATTGTTCCACATTCAACTTATATATTTCCTGCTGCAGTCTTAGAATCAGCGATTTCTCTAAAGAGCCCTGGTTCTTTTTATTAGAGAATGGTATTAGAAACCAAGACCTGGGTGCTGGGTGTGCTCATGGCTGCTGGGGGATCATTTCTTTTAGGCCTTTTCAGCTGATAGAGGAAAGAAATATCTGTGTGTATACTAACCTGTGTATATACACACAGTTACCAATATTTCCATGTGTAACTAGTTATATTCATGTTTAGCTAAACATGAGTTTATGTTGATGTCTCCAGAATCCATTATATGTGATGAATTTAATTAATTAATTTTTTTTTTTAGATATAGGGTCTTGCTTTCTTACTCAGGCTGGAGTGCAGTGGCATGATCACAGCTCACTGCAGCCTCCAACTCCTAGGCTCAAGCAATCCTCCCACCTCAGTCTCCTGAATAGCAAGTGCTACAGGAAAGCACCACCACATCTGGCTAATTTTAAAATATTTTTGTACAGATGGAGTCTCACAATGTCGCCCAGGCTGGTCTCTAACTCCTCACCTCAAGTGATCCTTCTGCCTTGGCCTCCCAAAGTCTTGGGATTACAAGTGTGAGCCAATATGCCTATCCTATAATATGATTCAAAATTGTGGTGTGACACTAAATTCGTAACCTTATTTATTACTACCTGAACACTTATTATCTGACACGTACTTTTGAAGTGCTCACCACACATTATTTCCTTTGGACCACATGACAGCTCTAGACACTGGTTCTCTGTTCATCCCCATTTTAGAGATGAGGAAATGCAGACACAGATAAGCTATATATCTTGTCCAAAGTTTCTCTTCTAATAAGTGGTGAAGTAGAATTCAAACCCAGGCTCAATCATGTCAAACATTAAAATGTATCTACATTTTGCATTAAATAGAATTCATATACAGCTAAGAGAAAAAGGTCACCTTATGGTTGACTGGTTGACGTAGTATTATAATCACAATATTTCACTTTGATGTTCTGATTTCCCTAGGAGCCAATAAATTTGTGTTTTAATTCTCAAAGTTTTCTGCCTGAGGCTGTGTTTTTGTGAATGGCCAGTGGATGAAAGAGCTCTTATGCTGTTCCCAGTCCGTCCAGCTGCCATGTTGACTCACCCTCAGTCCCTCCCTCCAGCTAGCCCCCATGGGAAATTCACAAGGAAGCAGGGTCTTCTGGGGAAAATGTCCCAGGCAGCTCAGATCCCCTGAGGGTCAATGAGGGAGGGACAGGATGTGTAAGGGGAGGAAGTGGTGGGGGGTGGTGGGGGTGTGGTGGTGGCAAGAACGGCCTTGGTGCTCTGCCCCCTAGGTGTTCCCAATGTGAATCTGGTCTGACCTGCTGTGCTTCTTCTGCCTGGGCTTCTTGGACGAAACCTGCCCTGACCCCAAGAGTGGCCTCTGGGTGACCCAACCAAAGGCCCCTCCTGCTTCTCCTCACATAAGGCCCCCTCCTCTCAAACCCAAGGCCCAGCCTCTTCCAACTCCAGGAAGCCTTCTCTGTCTACCCTACTCTCAATAATATCCTTCTCCTAAATAAATCTCAATCCTGGGCCAAAGGTCTCACACTAGCAGCCCTCAGATGTGCTTTTTAGGCCTGTATCATGTTTTCTAAACTTTTGATTTGACTCCCAGCATTGAAAAGCAAGAGATTTCACCTAAAAATGTGAACACACAGCCTCTCTTACAAATGTGGAAGCCTGGCAGCCCCTGGCACTCGTTCCTTCTGGTGAGCCCAGCCCTGCGCCTGGCACACAGTCTGGGTGCACCAGCCACAGCCTGCTCGGAGCGCTGGCTTCGGAGGCAGGCAGGCCCAATTCACCCCTTCCTGGCCATGGGACCTGGCAAAAAATGCCTCTTGTGCAGACTCCATTTCCCCATTTGGAACCAGAGCTTAAAACAAAACCTCCTTCATGGGGTTGTAGGGAAGAAGAAATGCACTGATACGCGGAGTGGGCTTAGCACAGGCCAGGCACTCAGAAGCCTGGATTAATGATACTTCCTTTTCTTGTTTTCCTTTTTGTTTTCTTGCTTTGGTAGCTCTAATTTCCTCATGGCCCTATCCTTCCCCACTCAGTCTGTCTGTTGGTTCATCCATCCGCTCATTCCACAAATGCCTACTGTGTTCCGGACACACAGAGGACCCAGTTGCTCCCCTCAGAAAACCCCTCTTCCTGGTCTGCCCAAGCAGAGAGCCATTTCATCCACGCATGCATTCATTCACTCATTCATTCAAATGCTCACTGAATACCGACCGTGTGCCGGGAGTTGTTCAGAACATCAAGGAAACAGCGCTGAACTAAACAGACAAAAATCTCTGCTGTCCTGGGACTGACATTCTACTGGTGGCAGACGGACCATTAACCAATTATAATGTGAAGCAGTGCTAAGTGCCGGGAAGAAAAATCACAGATGTGGCGGGGGTGGCTGCTTGGTCAGGAAGGCCTCTCTGTGAGCAAGGAGGGGGCCTGTGGCTGGCTCCAGGATAAGAACATTCCACGAAGAGGGAACCTGTGCAAAGGCCCTGCGGCAGGTGCAGGCCTGGAGTGTTTGGGGGCAGAGCGTGAGTGGAGGGGTGTGAGTTACGCATTTCTGTGATGTTAGATTTCCTCTCCTCCCTGTCATTCTCTTCCCCCTCCTCTATTTTCTCTCTCTCTCTCTCTTTTTTTTTTTTTTAACAATGAGTCTCTTAATTTTGTCATCAGATAGATGCACAAGGACAATACATAAAAATAGAAATAATATCTGGGAAGCAGTGGGCACGTTATTGGCACACAGGAGTGGCGATGGCTGTTCTTACTATTTCTTCTCATTTCTGGCAGGAATGAATCACTTATTTCCAACGTTTCCTAAACAGGCAATGGGCTCCTGGGCCCCGTCTTACTCGGGAGGGCCTTTCCTCTGTCCCATCATTCTGAGGGTTTCTGGAAGGTGAGTGCGTGGGATGTGTGTGTGTGTGTCTGTATGTGTGTGTCTGTGTGTGTTTGTGTCTATGTGTGTCTGTGTGTGTGTGTGTGTGTGTCTGTGCATGTGTCTGTGTGTGTCTATGCCTGCGTGGGTGTGTGTCTGTGTGTGTGTGTCTGTGTCTGTGTGTGTATGTCTGTGTCTGTGTGTGTCTGTGTGTCTGTGCGTGTGTGTCTGTGTGTGTGTCTGTGCGTGTGTGTGTGTCTGTGTGCATGTGTGTCTGTGTGTGTCTATGTCTGTGTGTGTGTGTCTGTGTGTGTCTATGTCTGTGTGTGTGTGTGTCTGTGTCTGTGTGCATGTGTGTCTGTGTGTGTCTATGTCTGTGTGTGTGTGTGTCTGTGTGTGTGTGTCTGTGCATGTGTGTGTCTGTGTGTGCCTATGTCTGTGTGTGTCTGTGCGTGTGTGCCTGTGTGTGTCTATGTCTGTGTGTGTGTGTGTCTGTGTGTATCTATGTCTGTGTGTGTGTGTCTATGTGTGTCTATGTCTGTGTGCGTGTCTGTGTGTGTGTGTGCATGTGTGTGTGTGTCTATGTGTGTGTGTCTGTGTGTGTGTCTGTGTCTGTGTGTGTCTGTGTGTGTCTGTGCGTGTGTGTCTGTGTGTGTCTGTGTCTGTGTGTGTCTATGTCTGTGTGTGTGTGTCTGTGTGTGTGTGTGTGTGTCTGTGTCTGTGTGTGTCTGTGTCTGTGTGTGTGTGTGTTGCCAAAGAAGGGTGCTGTTGCCTCTTCCCCTTCGCTCCCCTCATCTCCTCTTTTCTTTTCCATCTTCTACCCCTTTGGTGGAAAGAAGCACCCAAGCGCCGGGAGCCTTGTTTCGGGGCCACTGAGAACTTGCTGAAGCTTGTGATAGCGCGGCCAGGGTGGGGTGTGGCTCATTGCTTTAATGTTCATGGAACTCTTGAGAATGGGAGTCCTAGAAATAGGGCCCTAGGCCCATCTGAAGTCTTCTCGCTTGTCCCCAGAGCTTCAGGCTCCTTCCTGTCCCCCCACCTCCCTGGATGCTGCCTGGTCCAGCCCCATCATCCTGCCTGCGCCATTGCAGTCACCTCCCGCCTGGGGCCGCTGCCTCTGCCCTGGGCCACCCTGGCCGTTCCTCACATGTGGCCAGAGGACCCTGCCAGAACCAACTCAGACCCTGTCCCACCCCTGCTCAGAGCCCTCCCAGGGATCCCACCCCACTCAGAGGCTCTGCCGGGTCCTACGAGGCCCTGCGCGTTGGCTCCTATCTCCTCTCTGAGCTCACCTCTCCCACTCATGGTCTTGCCCTCTGCCCCCTCGCCCAGCCACACTGGCCTCCCTGCTCCATGACAAGCTCCTGCTCCAGCTTTTGGACCTACTGGACCCCTCCCACCCCAGTGACCTATGCCCCTCCTCTTGGGGTCAGCTGGGCAGCCTGCCGTGCACCCCCTAGCCACCTCCAACCCCAGGAGTGGGGCTTCCTGATGCCAGCCTCCACACCCTTTATCACATGTGCATTGGCAGTGTTCCGTGGTGTCAGCCCTAGAAGGGTTGGCTGGATCTGGGTGCACTGCGGTGCCCCAGTGCCTGGAACAGTGTTGGCTGCCTGGAACTACTAGTATTGGTGCACAACATGCAGTAGGCATTCAATTTGTGCTTGCTGAATGAGGGACCTTTAGTATTTAAAAATCAGACCTTGAAAACATTGCAAAGTTCCTAGAATCCCAGGCTTGAAGAATTGGAGACCGGGAGGCAGTGAGGCTGGGTGCTGCGGGCCCCTCTGCCCCACCCCGGCTGGCTGTGTGTGTCTCTCTTTTTGAATCTGTTTCTTTTTCTCTCTCTGTCACAGTCTCTGTCTTGTTCACCTCCTTCTCATTGTCTCTCTGTGTGTTGTTTGTCTCTGTTTCTCTCTTTTCTCTGCCTCCTCTCTCCTCTCCTCTCCCCACAGCTTCCTTCCCTGCCCCCTCCTCCTTTTTTCCTCTCCTCTCTCCTCCCATCCTCTCCCCTTCTCCTCTCCTCTCTCTCTCTCTCCACTGTTTTGTCTCTTCCTCTCTCCCCACTGTCCATCTCTGTATCTGTCCTTTCTCTGTCTCGGTCATCTGTGTGTCTCTCCTCCTTGCTGTCATCCTCTGTCCCTGCCTCCGCGGGCACCCGGCCAGCTCCTGCTGCGGAGCGTTTTTCTGCCTCTCCGTCCTCCATCTGCCCCACCCAGGGACCCTATCCAGTTGTGACAAAGGCGAGCCCATGGCCGGTCCTGTGAGGGGCCGGTGCTGGGCGTGGAAGCTCTTCTTGACCTTCTCACTTGCGGCATGACTGAAAAAGTTGAGAACCATTCTGCTCTCTGAGCTCTGATTTCCTTGTCTCGCCCAAGAGAATAACAATTTCTGGTACTTCCTTGATTTCTATTCTAAGTACGTTTATTATTTCACTGGCTGGGTGGTGAAGCTTGGAGAAGTTTGTGGGTGGGGAACCTCACCAACAAAACCTCCATGGCAGCAGAAGCAGGCCGAGCCAGGAGCTGACCATGTGCTGACCCGGGCTGGGCATGTTCCCTGGCTGGGGCATGGCCGCTGTCTATCCTGGGCTCAGCACACAGTGGTCTCTTTCTGCTCGGCCAGGCCTCCTTTCAGAAACTTGAACTCATTAGGCTGCCTTCAGCCACAGGGCCTTTGCAGGTGCTGTTCCCTTGGTCTGGGATGCTCTTCCTTCTGTCTTTGGCCTGGTTAAACTGGGGCTTTCTTATTCTTCTGATTTGGGCTCAAACATCCCCGCTTCCAGGAAGTCCTCCCTGATGACACCCCCCCCCAAGTCAGGTCATCTTGTTAACCACTTTCTAGCCCTTAACACAGTTATAATTGTTTATTTGCTCTCAGTCCCCACAGGCCTCCCCACCCCATCTTCTGGGCTTAGTGCTCCCCAGGACGGAAGTTGAGAGGTCCAGGCCCATGAGTCAGCAGAGCTCTGCTTCCCCTCTTAGCACTTTCTTTGGGGCAGTTGGAGCCTGGCCTCCTCCAAGGGGGACTACATTCAGGAGTGCCTAGGTGGTGGGGAGGTGGCCAAGTCCTCTCCCCGCCCCCTACCCCAGCTGCCCAGCATCAGACAGCTTCTCTCCGCCTCTGTGCCAACACCTGCCTGAGCCACTGTTGACACACTCACCTCCCCCCACCCCCACTCCACTGCCATCTTCTCCTGAAGAAGCCAGAGGGAGCTTTTCATAATCTAAATCTGGCCCCCAACGGCCGTGCTCCACACCCTTCCACGGCTCCCTGTTACTCTCTGAATAAAGCCCAGCCCCTCAGCCGGCCTCCACGCCCTCCGTGGCCTGGCCTGGCCTCTTCCCCTTCATGCCCCAGCAGCCCCCAGCTCCCAGCAGCTCCCTGCCCCCGGGTCTTCATGCTTGTTGTCCCACCAAATGGATGAAAGCCACCCGTTCACTCCCTCACCTCCTTCAAGCCCAGACCTCACCTTCCTAGCGAGTCCTTCCCTGACAGTGTTTCTTAAAATTCCAGCCTCCCCACCACCCTTTCCCCTGCTTCCCTCCTTTATTTCTCCCTATAATCCCAGCCTCTGGGAATAGTCCACAGAGTTTATGGATTCATCTTGTTTCTTGTCCGTCTCCCTGACTAGAATGTCAGTTCCCTACGGGCAGATGCCACTGTTGCTCCTCGTCCTTACTGTGTCCCAAGGAAGGAGTGAGCGAGGCCTGTGTGGCCGTGGGGTCAGACGGGCTTGGGCTCGAGTTCTGGCTCATTCACTGCCTGACTTTCTCCTCTTAGAGCCTCAGTTTTCTCATTAGAAGAATCGGGGGAAGCAGGGTTGGGATAAGAGCTGAGCAAACTCTTGCGTGTAAAGCGTCTAGTGCCTACACATGTCTAGAGGAAAAAAAAGAACCGAAATGAAAACTCATCACTCACGATTTTGGGGAGATGGGTGACTGTGCTCAGGCCTGGCCACACCTTCGTGTTGTTACCTGGCCATTGAAAAGTGTGACCCGCAGCCCTCCCAGGACCCTTCTGTTTTGTTTGTTTGCTTTTAAGTATTATTTGTTACATAAGCATTTTTTTCCCTCTAGATTTTATTTTTAATTAAAAAATTCAAGCGAAACTAGTGCACGTAATATTCCAACTTTTTTTTAAAAAGGAGGTGGAAGATACATGTGTATGTTGTTAAACTGAGGAAAAATTCACATAGTCAAATAACATGAAAGTGACCATTTAAATGAACCATTAATTAGCCATTTTAAAGTGAACAATTCAGTGGCATTTAGTCCATTCATAATGTGGTACAACCATCACCTCTATCTAGTTTCAAAACATTTTGTCCTCTCCTCTCCCCTCCCCTCCCCTCCCCCTCCCCTCCCCTCCCCTCCTCTCCCCTCCCCTCCCCTCCCCTTCCCTTTCCTCCTTCTTCTTTTTTTTTTTTTTTGGTCTCATTCTGTTGCCCAGGCTGGAGTACAGTGGTGTGATCTCAGCTTAGGGCAGCCTCAACCTCCCCAGGCTCATGTGATCCTCCCACCTCAGCCTCCTAGATAGCTGGGACTAAAGGTACATGCCGCCACACCCAGCTAATTTTTTGTATTTTTTTAGAGATGGAGTTTTGTCATGTTGCGCAGGCTGGTCTCAAACTCCTGAGCCCAAGTGATCTGCCTGCCTCAGCCTCCTCAAGTGCTGGGATTACAGGCATGAGCCACCGTGCTAGGACCCAAAAACATTTTCAGTCACCCAAAGGAGACCATGTACCTATTAAACAGTCACTCCTCATTCCTGCCTCTCCCCATTTCCTGGCAACCATCAGTCTTCTTTCTGTCTCTATGGGTTTATCTATACTGGAGGTTTCATATAAACAGTATCATACAATATATGACCTTTTGTGTCTAACTTCTTTCAATTAGCCTAATGTTTTTGAGGTTCTCCACGTTGTAGCGTGCATCAGTTCATTTAAAAAAAATTTTTTAATTTTAATTTTTTTGAGATGGAGTCTCACTCTGTCACCCAGGCTGGAGTGCAGTGGCATGATTTCTGCTCACTGCAACCTCCATCTCCCGGGATCAAGTGATTCTCCTGCCTCAGCCTCCTGAGTAGCTGGAATTACAGGCGTGTGCGACCATGTCCAGCTGTTTTGTACTTTTAGTAGAGACGGGGTTTCTCCATGTTGGCCAGGCTGGTCTCAAACTCCTGACCTCAGGTGATCACCCGCCCTGACCTCCCAGAGTGCTGGGATTTCAGGTGTGAGCCACTGCGCCCCACCAGTACTTCATTTTTAAAAAAATAATCAAATACTGTTGTATGGATAGATCACATTTTGCATACCCATTCATCGACTGATGGACAGCTGGGCTGTTTCCACCTTTTGGCTACTGCGACTAGTGCTGCTATGGTAATTGGTATGCAAGGACTTGTTTTGTGTGTGTGTGTGTGTGTGTGTGTGTGTGTATATATATATTTTTTTTTTTTTTGGACAGAAAGTCTCGCTCTGTCACCCACACTGGAGTGCAGTGGCATGATCTCGGCTCCCTGCAACCTCCACCTCCCGGGTTCAGGCGATTCTTGTGCCTCAGCTGTCTGAATAGCTGGGATTACAGACACGCGCCACCATGCCCAGCTCATTTTTGTATTTTTGGTAGAGGACTGGGTTTCACCATGTTGGCCAGGCTGGTCTCAAGCTTCTGGCCACAAGTGATCCACCTGCCTCAGTCTCCCAAAGTGCTGGGATTACAGGTGTGAGCCACAGTGCCCGGCCTCATGTGGTTATTCTTGAATAAAAAATACAAGATGCAGAAAAGGATGCCCAATGTGCTTCTGATTTGTAAAAGGAATGACAGATAAAGAAATCCTCTGTCCAGCCAGACATGGTCTGTATGGGATTTTCATTCTTGTGGAAAAATATGTAAGAATCTGTTCTCAACAGTCAACAAGGGAGAAAAAGAAGGCTTATGCAGAAAAGTAAAAATGAAAAAAGAAGACCGTACACCAAACCACAACAGTGCACACACAATGGCTCCATGCAGGCATGTGAGACACACTAGACTGAGTGATTGTATGTGAAGATGTGAAAAAAACAGCAAGCAACAAAATCAACCCCAAAACTAGTCTCTCTAGGAAGGGCTGGGCAGGAGCCTGGCCAGATGGAGAAACTGAAGTTGGGAACAGGGGAGGGAACTCCTAGAGAGAGCGATCTCCAAAAACTGCTCCTCCACCCCTCCTTTTTAACTCCCTCCCCAAATACCAGGTCCCATTGGAGCCAAATTTCCTCAGTGTTTTGAAATCTCAGACCTGCAGGCAGGAGATAGACTCTTCCTCATGGAGGGTGTGATTGGATTTTTAAGCTCCTATAGATTGAGCGCTTACTACCTACTAAGTGTTTCGCCTGCCTTGTGACCTGAGTCCTCTCCCAGTGCCTGAGGAAGAAGCTATTGTTCCCTCATTTATTTATTTTCATTGTTACTTTTTTTTTTTTTTTTGAGATGGAGTCCTGCTCTGTTGCCCAGGCTGGAGTACAGTGGCACGATCTCAGCTCACTGCAACCTCTGCCTCCCAGGTTCAAGCGATTCTCCTGCCTCAGCCTCCTGAACAGCTACAATTACAGGTGCTCACCACCACGTCCGGCTAATTTTGGCTTTTTAGCAGAGACAAGGTTTCACTATGTTGGTTAGGCTGGTCTCAAACTCCTGACCTCAAGTGATCTGCTCACCTCGGCCTCCCAAAGTGCTGGGATTACAGGTGTGAGCCCCGCACTCAGCTGCTCCCTCATTTTTTTGGTTCAGGAAAGCAAAGTTCAAAGAGGAGTAGGTTTCTCTGCAGGGCGTGTGGCAGAGCTGGACTTGAACTCAGGGCGGAATCCTTAGCCATGGTGCCCTCTGCCACATGGTTCATCTTTCCGTCATCTCTACTCCCCAAGATGCCTGGCTCCAGCTGAAGATCCAGGGTTCCCAGGCCCCCCTCCTGGGGACAGGTCCTCCTTCAGCCTGACCTGAGCTCTGCCACTTCCACTGGCATGAACTGTAGCAACAGTTTGGGTCCCCGGGCCTCATTCTCTCCATCTGGAAAATGGGCACAGCATGTGCCTTTCTGCACAGTGAGGACGTGAAGGATTGATGAGGCAACATGCAAGGAGCATGAGCTTAGGGCCTGGCACCCAGGAGGCCACCCCAGTGGACCCTGCTGGGTTTCCGATTTCCCCTGTGACACCTCCTGGGGGTCGGATCCCCAGCGGGAGGAAGGATGAGGCCTGCGGTGCCTGGGTCTGGCACAATGCAGAGCATTGAGCTCATGCCAGCCTTGGCTTGGGTTTGGACAAATACAGTCATCTGGGCAGGACTCACACAAAGACCCGGGGGCCGGGGCAGGCAAGGGGCGTCAGGTTACCCCCGTGGGCTGCAGCCACACAGGTGGCTTGGCGGGTGTATTTTCTTTTCCCTAAAGATTATCATTAACCCTCACCGAGGCCTTGGCAGGCGGGTTTCATTACAGGAAAAACTGAGGTATAGGGGTGTGCAGGCCTGACGGGACGCGCTGTCACTGTGATAGGAACAACATTAGCAATAATAACAGCTGTCCTTCGGGACTGGTTCCCACGGTCTAGGCCCTAGGTGAATAATAAGCCTTTTCTCGATCCTTTCTGCAGCCTGAGAGGAAAGCCCCATGTTATCCCAATTTCACAGATGTGCAAACTGAGGCTTGAAGACACTCTGCAGCCTCCAAGGGCTGTTCTCTTCATTCCTCCAACAGAGTGGGAATGAGACGGTGCAGAGTCTGGAATGTCTGGGCAGAAGGAAGAGCCGGAGCAAAGGCCTGGAGCTTGGAGGGCGCTGTCGGGGGGGGCGGGGGGCGGGGGCGGTGTCCCATGGCGGGGTTTCGTCTCAGCTCTGCCATGTCTTGGCTGCGTGACCTCTGGCACCCTACTGGGCCTCTTTGATCCCAGACTACCTGTAGAATGGGTGTGTGAGAAGAAAACCTTCTGGAGCGGGGTGTTGAGGAGAGAACAGTGCCTGGCACATCATAATAATAATGCTGAATAGATGTTATTTTCATTTCTAACCACTTCCTCCAGGAAGCCCATCCTGACCTCCTCTGGCTCCCGAGGTCACCTGGACTTGCCCCATCACAGACCTTGCCACAGTGTGAGAAACGGCCTCATCCACATACCAGCTTCTCACCCCCACCCAGACCCTCTGATTGGGACTCCCTTGAGGGCTGTGTCCCCAGAGCCCAGAAAGAGTCCAGCACAGAGCAGCTGAGGGGGTAGGTGCTGGTGAACAGTGCCACTGAGCCCCTGCTACTCACCAAGCCCTTCACACACGGTTCCTTCATTTAGTGTCTTTCTTCTCCTAGATAGAACCTTGGCTTTGCCAAGACCAGCATAGTTGCTGCTCAAGAAATATGTGAGGAAATTGTTGAGATGAACCAGCACTCAGGGGAAGGGAGGCTTTCTGAGGACGGGGCCTTAGCAGGTGGAGCTCCTGGGATAATAAGAAAGATGCCCGGATGCGGTGGCTCATACCTGGAATCCCAGCACTTCGGGAGGCCAAGGCAGGCAGATCACTTGAGGCCAGGAGTTCAAGACCAGCCTGGCCAACATGATGAAACCCCGTCTCTACTAAAAATACAAAAAATTAGCTGGGCATGGTGGTGCGAGCCTGTAGTCCCAGCTTCTCGGGAGGCTGAGGCTGGAGGATCAATGACTGAACCCAGGAGGTGGAGGTTGTAGTGAGCTGAGATTGCGCCTCTGCACTCCAGGCTGGGCAACAGAGTGAGACTCTGTCTCCAGAAAGAAAGACAACAATAATCAGTAGTCTTTACTCTGCTCCAGGCGCCAGGCTGAGTCTTCTCAGTTCCTCTCCCCAGCAGGTTAGTTCTATTATTGTTTCCATTTCACAGATGGGAAAATCAAGGCACAGGGAGGTGAGGTGGGTTACTCCAGGTCACACAGTCAGTGAGAGGAAGAGCCAGGATCAAAGCCAAGCCTGTTTGACTGAGGAGCCTGCCCTGAGACCTTAACCACACACCAAGCCCTCCCTAGAAGGAAGATGCCGCTACTGGATACATTTTGCAGGTGGAAACCAAGGCTCTGAGAGTCAGAATGGCCTGCCCATGTCTGGACACAGAAACTGAGGTTGAGCAGGAGATGCTCGAGGCGGGGTTCCTGTCTCCTAGGCCAGCACCCTGAAGGAGGGGTGGGAGACCGCCTCCCACGCCCCAAGCTGTCCCCTGCTTATTGGAGTTTCTGGTCAATACCCTGGCCTCTGTTACCCAGCCCAGCACCCAACACACTGCCTCTTCCGCCTGCCTGGAGTCTCGGGTCTCGGGTGCCTTCACAATCGGATTCTCTGTCTCCGCAGCTGCTTTCCATTTGAGCTCTTTGTGCTGAAAATAAAAAAAAAATGAAAAGAAAACTTGGCACCGCCCCTCTGCTTTGCTTCCTGGGGAGGAAGGAGGATCCCAGCTACTTCTTTCCCTCATTCTGGGGCCCAGAGATACCCACAGCCTGCCCAAGGTCACACAGCAGGGTCGGAGCCAGGACCCTGGCCTTAGACTCCCCTTCCAGTGCTCTACCCCCTCTGGCCACTGCCTCTGCTATTCCTGGCTCTTCCTCTAGGCCCGTGAGGAGCAGATGAATTAGGATGAATGTTCCTGCACCCTACCACACGCTGGGCACTCTGCCACCTTGAGCTCACAAAACCCTCATGACAGCCCTGTGAGGTCCTGTCACCCCATTTAACCAACGAGGAAGCTGAGACTCAGAGAGGGGAAGCGCCCAAGGTCACACAGCCGGGACGTGGCAGAGCTGGGGTTCCAGCTCCTGTTCCCATTGCTGGACAGCTGCCACATCTGGCACCCAATTTAGGACCCTGTGGGGAGGCCCAAGCCCCGGGGGTGGCGGGGGTTCCTAGAGGGAAGTGGCAAGGCCAGGACCCTGGAACTGAGCCAGGTAAGAACAATGGGTCCTCAGAGACCGAGGTGGCAGGGCGGGGTGGCTGCTGAGCAGGGGCGGCAGGGCGAGGTGGCGGGCGGGGCCCAGGAGACTTCATGCTCCCGCCTCCTACTCCTGCAACCTGTTTGGGACCTGGGGACACTCCAAGCACTTCAGCTCCTCAACCTGGACAGACCCACGGCTCCAGCAGGAGGCAGGGCCAGCCCTGTGTATAACGATAAATATAGTGGGCAATAATCAGATTTCACGCTTACCGAGTCCTACTACAGGCCAGGCACTGGGCCAAGGGCCCTTCCTGGGTCCTCACAACCAGCCTAGGAGGTGCAACTAGGATTAGTGGCTTTTTACAGATGCGGAAACGGAGGTCCAGGGAGGTACTTAGCACCTGCTGTGCCAGGACAAAGAGCTTTGGAAAGTGGGGCCCTCAGAGGGTGGGTACCCTGTTCCCAGAGGCAGGAAAGTTAAGGTAGACCGGACTCAGTGGGGCTCAGCGGGACACCGGGGAGAGTCAATGCTCTCCGGGGGCAAGATGAATTAGAGGGAGCCCTTTTGGGTTTTCAGAATCTGAATATGAGGTGAGGGAAGCAGAGATGTGGGGAGCAGATGAAGCCTCCCTGGCACTGTTGGGAGGATTAAAGGACTTGATGGACACCTAGGACTTGGAAATGTGCCTGGTAGAGAGTAGGTGCTCAGGGAACACCTCCTGTTTGCAGAAACAGCAACTCACACTTAGGAAGCCTGCTGTGCATCTGAACCCCGTGCCTGGGTGTTTCTGACCCCCTTCCAGCCCTCATTCCTCCTCTCTCTATTTTCTCCCCTGTCTCAGGTTCATTCCTATTTTTCCTCTTGCCCCAATTAGGCCATCTTCTATGACTGCAACAGTAAAAATATTAATTAAATCTTATAACATGGAGTCTAACGTGGGGCCGCTCCAGCGTTCCAGGGCGGGCTCCCTGGGCTGTAAGCAGGCATCTCTTCACTTCTCTTTCTTCATGGGCCCCAGTGCCTGCTGTGGCTCAAGACATCATGTCCCACATGATCACATCCTAACCAGGAAGGGATGGACAGAAAAAGGGGCTTTCTCCTTCAGGATCTCACTTTTTTTTTTTTTTTTTTTGAGAGACAGTATCGCTCTGTCACTCAAGCTGTAGTGCAATGGCACGATCTCGGCTCACTGCAACCTCCACCTCCTGGGTTCAAGCGATTCTCCTGCCTCAGCCTCCCATATAGCTGGGATTACAGGCACACCCCACCACGCCCAGCTACTTTTTTGCATTTTTAGCAGAGATGGGGTTTCACCATGTTGACCAGGCTGGTCTCAAACTCCTAACTTCAGGTGATACGCCCACCTCAGCCTCCCCAAAGTGCTAGGATTACAGGCGTGAGCCACCACACCCGGCCAACAATTTTTCTTAGATGTCCCAGTGGATGTCCCCTGGTATCTCAATGGAATGATGGGCTCACATGTCCACATTTGAACCAGAAAGGAATTCCTGTGGCTGACTCATGCCAATTAGGGTTCAGCCTGTCTGGCTGCTCCAAAGAGATGTGGGCTCTGAAGATGATGGGGGCACGGCTGAGATGGCCACCAGCTGGAGTCTCACTGACAGCCTCCTAAGTGACACAGTGGGCCTGGGTTTGCTCGGCCTTCTCTGGCTGGTCCTCTTGGCAGTGTCTGCCCCCTGGGTAACTGCCCCTTCCTTGAGCACGGTCTTCCCCAGCCTCTTGATGACAGCTCGCTGGTCTCGCTGGTTCTCCTCCTACCTCCCCGCCCGTTCCTCCTTGGGCCTCGAAAATGGCCCCTCTTCTGCCTTCATTTGGTCCTCGCTCCATGAGCTCAGGTGTGCGGGGTCCCTCGTGCCTTTACACAGGCTCTGTCAGTCTGTCCATGGGTGTTCCAGTGGCACACCCCGCTGGCAGACATGGGTGTCTTTCTCAGATCAGAAGACAGCACTGCCACCCACCCAGTGGGCCAGGCGTCAGACCTTAGGGTTGTTCTTCTCCCCTCTAACCTCCACATTCAATCAGCAAATTCCATTGGCTCTGCCTGTGGACTTAACCAGAACTCGACAAGTCTTCCCTCCTCTGTCTGGTCATTGCTCACCCGCCTGGGCAGAATCTCCGCCCTGGCCTCCCCACCCACCCCACACAGCCCTCCACACTCAGCCAGAGGGCTCCTGTTGGAACCCAAGTCAGGTCACACCATTGCCTCACTCCAAACCCTGCTCCTACCTCCCTCAGAGAGAAAGACAGTCCCTGCTCTGGCCCCAAGGACGGCCCTGAATGGCCTTCCCCCTCCCTACCTCCCCTCCCGACTCCCCTGGCCACAGTGACCTCCCTCCTCCTGCTAGAACACATGGAGCTTTGCCCCACATCTCCTGGGTGTTGTTTTTCTGGATCTTTCCATGATCGGCCCCATCCCCTCACTCGGACCTGTGTGCCTCAGAGAGGCCTCCCAGACCATCCCTGAAAGAAGCCCTGCCCACCCCTACCACACCTGCCGAAGATCAGCTTCGACAAGCGGGACTGTGTCTTATTCAGCACGGGGCCAGCACAGGGCAGTGCCCAGAACGCAGCGGCTGGTGCGCAGCGGCTGGCGCCGGGCTCCGTGGGTCCTCCCACAGATGCAGTCAGTGGGACGGTGTCTGGGTCCCAAGGTGACCCCCAGGCTGAGGTCACCACCTTTCCCCTTCCAGGATCACTGCCTGGATGATGGTGGGTGTCCCAGTGGTGGGGAGAGCAGCTCTGAGCCTCCACCGTGCCCAGAGCAATGGGCACTGGAGCCTGGAACCTTCATTCCCATATCACAGAACCTCCAGGAGTCTGGAAGGGGACAGTTGAGACAAATGGAATTTAGGAACTTTTGGTCGGTGCTCAATGTTCCCTCTGGGGACATCTTGTCTGATGGTTGTTGTTTTTGTTTTCTCTTTTCCTGAGCTGTGGTACCTATTGTTCAAACAGAGGACCCCGAGCGCTGGCCTGCCTCACTCAGGCACAAGCACCCGAGCTGTCTGGCAAGGTGGAAATCCACCACAGCCAACTTCCCCTTGGGGATTCCACAGGAAGGACGTGGCCCCTCTAACCGAGGCGGATGTATGGTCTCTCCATAGATTCCGCCTGCATAATCTCACGGCCGCTTCAGCTGGGTCTCATGGGGCCACCCTGTGGCCTGCGTTCAGGGACCACATTGTAGCAACAGGGCTGCGTTAAAGCTGGAATCGCACCCAGCAGACTCGGCCTGGGGGGATCCACCAGCCCACATCTCCCCCCACCGACACAGCCACCTGGCGATTGGCTCTTCTCTCTCCAAAGCCGTATTTGTTCTTTTTGCTGAGTATGTGCAGCTGAATTCTCGTTGGTTAAAGCGCCTGCGCGGTGGCTGCCCTGAATACAAAAAAGATCAAGGGGGTGCTGTCCTGGTAGGTATAAGGAGTGGGGGCCCCCCACCTCTACCACTTCTCCAGGTGACCCGAGGGCCAGTCCTTAGAATACCACCAGGCTCAGTGGAACCCAGTTTGAAAGCCCATGATCAAGGTCCATTCCTTTGGTCTCCATCCGGGAAAGTGAGGGAGAGATGAGGGAGGGGGCATTTTGAGGACCAGAAATGGCGTGGCAGAAACAGCCAGCCTGGAGGAGGGGGTCTGGGCAGGGCAGGACCCAAAGGCTGGAGCAGGAGGTGTCTGGCGAGGCTGTCTGGGGGACGTGATTTCCCTGTCCCCTTCGTTCATTCTTCATCATTCATTCATCCATTCTACACATATTATGAAGCACCCACTGAGCTGGAGGTGACAATGATCCCTGCCTACAAGAAGCTCCTAGGCCGGTGGGGGACATGAACACCCTTCAAAATGTCAATTTGTGACTGCGACAAGTACAAGGTGATTTGCGGGTCAGTAAAGGGGGAAGGAGGTTGGTGTGGTTAGGGTGTTCGGGAAAACTTCCTAGAAGCTGAGCTGGGAACTGAAGGGTGAGCAGAGGCCAAGTACATGAGAAAGGGAGGAACGAATATTCCAGCAAGTGGACACAGCACGTGCAAGGGACCTGCTGTGAAATGGAGCAGAGTCGGAGGGGCTAACAGGCTCCCAGTTCCACGTGGCGGAAGCTTTGCAGTGAGGGGCAGGTGTGGAGAGGAAGGCGAGGTAGGGGCTGGACAGACTCCCAGTGAGAGCAGCCCAGTCTCTATGCCAAGGGCAGAGGGGTTCTTGGGAGGGTCTGAGTCAGCAGCACCAGCTTCTTCCTGAATGCTCCAGGGCCTGGGGCCAGGGGTGGGCATCTGGATTTGATCGTCAGTGGGATAGGAGACAGGGTCCCCTGGCACTTCTGCCCATCTCTGCCTTCCTGGTTTGGATATAACAATCACTGTCTCTTTGTCTTTCATGATTTACCTCATTGAACCCCCACCCACAGACCAACCCCTGCAGGTGCCAGGGGTTGAACCCACTTGTCAGATGGGGAAACTGAGTCTGTGATATGTTCCCATGGCCCCACCCGCTTCCTTCTGCCCAGAGAAAAGAGGAACAGGGAACTGATGCCCATGGTCAGCTGGGAAGAGTCTGGGCAGGGAATGGGGAGGGTGGGGCCCTCGGGGGCCTGTGTTCGGGATGGGCAGGGGCCCTGCTTCCGTTTAACCACAGCCCTGTGACATGCCCCAAAAGGGAAGCAGCAGCCGCCTATCCTCACCCCTCTGTGCCCTAGGGAGGGGGC